CGCGGAGAAATCTGCGGAGCTGGGAGCTGAGAACTGGCGACTTTGTAGTACAACTTTAGTACGCGGAGTAGCCGGGGAGCTGGAAGCTGAGAACTGGCGACTTTCTAGTACAACTTTAGTACGCGGAGCAATCTGTGGAGCTGGAAGCTGAGAACTGGCGACTTTGTAGTACAACTTTAGTACGCGGAGTAGCTGTGGAGCTGGAAGCTGAGAACTGGTGAGTTTCTAGTACAACTGTAGTACGCGGAGCAATCTGTGGAGCTGGAAGCTGAGAACTGAGAACTGGCGACTTTGTAGTACAACTTTAGTACACGGAGTAGCTGGGGAGCTGGAAGATGAGAACTGGCGACTTGGTAGTACAACTTTAGTACGCGGAGTAGCTGGGGAGTGGGAAGATGAGAACTGGCGACTTGGTAGTACAACTTGAGTACGCGGAGTATCTCGGGAGCTGGAAGATGAGCACTGGCGACTTTGTAGTACAACTGTAGTACGCGGAGTAGCAGGCTGGGGAGCTGGAAGATGAGAACTGGCGACTTGGTAGTACAACTTTAGTACGCGGAGTATCTGGGGAGTGGGAAGATGAGAACTGGTGACTTGGTAGTACAACATTAGTACGCGGAGTATCCGGGGAGCTGGAAGATGAGAACTGGCGACTTGGTAGTACAACTTGAGTACGCGGAGTATCTGGGGAGCTGGAAGATGAGAACTGGCGACTTGGTAGTAGAACTTTAGTACACGGAGCAATCTGTGGAGCTGGAAGATGAGAACTGGCGACTTTGTAGTACAACTTTACTACGCGGAGGTGACTTTCGAGAGGTGAAGAACTTGCAGAAAACAGGTGTTCCTGCGCTTCAGAAAGACATACAGAGAGGGACACATACACACACAGACATAGATACACACACACAGAGACCCACACACTGCCTCAACACACTCGACTATTAACACTTCACACTGAACACTTATATAACACACTTAACAGATAACTCGCACTCTGACTTCCTACGTGATGAAAAATGCTTTCGGGCCACTCGTCGTCTAGTATATAACTATGACAAAAGGCACTCCAACAGGCAACATCAACTGACAAGACTCTATGTCTTCAACGAAGCTCTTCAATGAACTGTCAACAAGTGGCATTGCAGTTGCCACAAAGGACCACTGTCTGCGCGTGGCTGAAGACCTCACGCTGTACAGAACATATTTCAAAAATGCAAACCGAAAAATCAGGAAGTTTGGGGCCGAACCGTGGTGATCTGTAGGCACCCAGGGCATTTCACATCCATGAAGAAACTATTCCTTGACAAACGCAATGGAGGTCCGGACCACAGATTATGCGAATTCCTGTTCATCCTATGTGGTCCTTAGCAAGGACGCTACTAGGAACAAAGGGCATCGCTACTAGGAGCAAGGACGCTACTAGGGGCTCCTGGCAGGCATCGCTTCTAGGAGCAAGAAGCTACTAGGACCTTTTTGCAGCTTCGCCCATTTGGGGTGAAGCCATTGCTTCAAGCTGCGGCGATTGGATCATGCGTTTCAGCTTGTGCTTGCTCTTCTCCTCACGAAAAGTTGCATGTCAAGAATGCAGTGGGCCCCGAACATCTTGTAATGCATCCTCCAACCAAATGGACTGTGCAAATCCAAAGACTCACATCTTAGATCGCAATCCTCCTTTGCATCCGGGTTGAGCAAGTCAATGTCCATTGTGAATGCCAATGATCCTTAGACTGGTGATGCTAGGTGGAGCCACAAGTGCCAACAATGCCATGCACATCGTGAGTTGCTACTTGACATGGAACATCATGGAACTGACCCGTTTGGAGGGCAACTGAACTCACTGAGTGAACAAGAACCTCAGTCCAAGACAGTCCAAGACCCGTGTTGGTGCTACCGCTCTACCGCTTTGAGCCATTGCGTTCAAGGAGGTCCAATGCCGCTTTGCTCGCTTCGTTCAATTCATTTCAATTCAATAGCCCCGGACGAGGCCAGCCTGAGGCTCTCTGAGGACCAGCTCCCAGTTCCCAAGCAAACGCAACTGCCTGTCGCACACGCATCCAGATGCACAATGGTTAATGCTTAATGTTTATTGCATATTATTGCATATGCTGCATATGTGCGAGTTTAAGTCCCAATCGTTCAAACTCGCCGGGTCAAGCCTCTGCGCTTCAGCCGCGCTAGCAGCATAGGCCACAGGAGTGGCTAAGGGCAAACAGTCCACCAACTCGTCCAAGACGGAGGCCTCGCGGTGGACCCCGCGCCACGGAAAAACCCTACACAACAAGGGAACGCTTGACATCCGGCCAATGCAGAAAATGAAGGAGCGATCGGACGCTACTAGGGGCTCCTGGCCTTTCTACTAGGAGCAAGGACGTTACTAGGGGCAACCAAAAGAATCAAATATGCACATCACGTACTTCATAATATCACTTTTGCACGGTCACGACGCTCTTCAAGCACCGTGCTTCCTCACATGTGCACTGATTATTTTGTACAGGAGCACCGTCTACAAATAAAGATTCTAAACATGGAGCTACATGGAGTCCTCAGTCGACTCGACTCATGACTCATATTGCAGCAAATCGCACCGGCACGGCAGCTGGGACGGCAAATGTCCGCGACAATCCAACAATGTGACGCCACCACTCATGATACGTATTTGGCTTTGTCTGAGCACCAAGTTTGACATGTTGGTTGCAAAGGTCAAACGTCGGTGATTCGAACCAAGCTCATCCTCCGCCTGAACTGCATTTGGCGGTCTAGCAGCAAGGTGTTCTTCCATCACTGAGTTGGCTGGTCAACGTGACCCGCTTTGGCTTTGGCCATTTCTTAGAAGCTGGTCACTAAAAGAACTGCTGACCACATAGGCAATCGTCGTCTTCAACTAGTCTGCAGCAAGCAATCACTGTCGGATTGGCTGAAGTAGGATGCATTCTTGCCAAGGCCTTAGGAACGGCAGCATCACAACCTATGGCCACACTCCCACGACAAATTAAATGCCGCCAAAGATTATTATACAGTAATACTGACTGCTATTTTAGATTCTAGTTTAGCTTTCCAGCAATTGGGGCATTCCCGTCGCAGGGGTACAGCCATGAATTATATACTTCGTTTAGGAACTCAGCATTCAGAACTTCAGTTTATAGCTGGATTCCGCAACAACCCTGTGTCACAAGTTGCTTTCTAGCATTCCACATCTTTACTCCAGCACAAACACCAGCAGGACCAGCCTTCTTTAACAAGCCCAATGTGCAAAGCCTGCTGGCGGTCTTCCGTGTGACCGGAGGACATTAGAAACATGGAGCGACCATGAGCACAAATAAGAACCACTTCAGAATGCCAGGGATCCCAAGTCCACCAACCCAAGAAAACCAGGGTGCCCGCCCTGAAAATACCTTGGCAAGTTCTCCAAAAGAACTGACTGAATTACTACCGAAGCACATACGTGGCGCATGCATGCGCATGTTTTCTTGGCTGCTCCTGGCTGCCAAGGGCGAAGTCCAGTTCCAACAAGGCGATTGCTGCACAAGCCACCCTGTACCAGCCATCGTTGTGGGATCAAGCATTCCTAAAATCAACGGTATGTTCAAATGTGCGCAGTTTTACTATATATTATATAATAGAGTCCCGACAGATTGTAGAAGTAGCCAGGTTTTATAAATAGTCCTGCCAGGCTTTATAAATAGTCCTGCCAGGACCAGGATATAAGTCCTAACAGATTTTAGAAGTAGCCAGGCATAGCCAGGATTTATAAATAGTCCTGCCAGGATTTATAAATAGTCCTGAAAGATTTTAGAAATAGCTCTGGCTTCCTCACAGAAGCCTGAAATAAAGAAGCTAGCGCAAGTGATAATATATATATATAATAAGTTGATAGTGTTGTCCTGCAGTTGGAGAAAGTGGACCTCACAACTATATATGCGAGTGGGAATGCGCTAGGACAAAATACGACAAGCACTTTTGCCTGTCTTGATCCACAGTATGATAAGATATGCTGCAATCGAGTTTTCAGTGTTGGGTCGGTTGGGCTTCACTCTGCTTCAAGCAAACACTATGTCAAGCCAACGCGCCAAAGATCACCTAACAGCTTCACAGAGCTCAAATACTCAACGTTCCCCGAAGACCTCCACTTTCGGACATTGACCATGCTCTCGTAGCACACCGTCCGGGTCCAAGGCCGCGCGGTTTCGACTGGCGGGAGCATGAGGCGGTGTAGGGGAGAGCGAAGCAAATACGAAGCGAGCCTCCAACCCAATAGCAATAGCCTCCAACATCCTCCAACCCAATAGCAATAGCCTCCAACCTAATGGCAATAGCCTCCAACCCAATAGCGATGGCCTCCAGCCTAATAGCGATGGCCTCCAACCTACTAGCGATGGCCTCCAACCTAACAACGAAATCCTTTGCTGCTCTGTTCCTTTTGGTGACACGGTGACAAATAGAAAAATTGATCGCCCCCTAAGCAAATTGATTGGGCGACACAAAACCTGCAAGAAAAATCAAGAGAAGGTAGGCGCAGTGAGCTTAGGCACCCGCTGCTCAAGCAAAAGATAGTAGAAGCCAACGGACATTTCAGACACCTGCTTTGGCTCCGAACAGAAGAGAAAAGATCGATTGATCTAAATCAAGACCACTAAAATTACATAAAATTGCCAATTAGAGATTGCACTGTTCAACAGTTGGCCACAAAAGTGTGCCTCGAGTGCTCGGCCGGAAGATGCCTCCAGTACAAAAACATTGCCATGTGAAAAGACATGAAAAAAACGTGCTATTAACTCACTAAGAACGAAGGAAACTGGGCCATGGGTTGAATCATGTTGAATCTTCGGCCAGTCCAACACTAAAGCTTGGAGAAAATGATCCCGCCGATCTTGAACTTTGACCGGTCTTCGGCCTTCGTGCCTTCCTGGATTTCCTCCTGCAAGGGCCAATGCAAGGGGTCCAGTGCAGTGCATGTGAACAAGCCGGATCCTGAAACCCAAAATCCCGCTGAAGAATTCGCTGCTAGCTGCTTGGACTGTGCATGTCACGGGCATCACCTTTCGTGCTATCTGAGTCCGTTCGCGTCTTTTTCTCCACTGCGACTGTGCCACTGAGCAGCCACTTCTCGGAGTAAGTTGTCATGAAAAGTGGCAACAAAGGGTGTGCAGCTCATTCTAAGTGAAACGGCGCGGGCGCAGTTCATTGGTCGCCCTATTTCCTTGGCAGGAAATAGAAAACAAAGCCATCCGAACAAGTCTCGTGCCGAGCCGCATGGCGTCCAACTGCCGGGGCGTCCGCCTTCTCACGACAAGGTCTTCGTTTGGTCGCGGGCCGCGAACGAAAAAGGTGAGACGAAACAGCTATAGTAGCTGTCAAGTAGGACGCTCTTAGTATATAACTGGACGCAGGATAGCTCCGCACTACTCATTTATATGCATGTGGTTCCATGTGGTTCCTAGGTTTTTAGGACAAAAATATAAACAAAAGAAGGGCTGCAAATGTTTCAAAAAAAGTCACGAGTTAGTGGTAGCAGTCAACGATCCAGCCCCGGCCTCGTTCGAGCAGTCAGCGGGGGCCGTTGTTCCTGCTCTGAAGCATGCAAATGCGGAAGTTCATGATGTCAACAAGTTTCCGGCTCTGCCAGCTACTCCCACCATCTCCCACCACCAAGATATATATCCTCTGAAGCGGGCTTGAGTGCATTGGAGTGTAGAGTGTGCGTGACAAATGGTGGAATGGGATGCTGGGGGCTCATCCCGGCAACGAGGCTCGAGGCACAAGCCTGGTTCGCTGTGAAATGCTGCGGGCTGTGGGCTTCCAAAAGGATTTGCTTCCAGCTGTTCGTCAAGGTTCTGGTCCAAGCGAAACTTCAACCATGTCTTCAATCAATCAACCCCGTCCTATCCAAGGTCCACTACAAGTCCCTTACCTCCGGCGCGGAGGCGCGTCCCTTCCAGCCTTTAGTCCAAATCTCTTCGAGTGTTTCAGCTCTAGATGTCTCCTCTGAGAGATCTCTTGGATAGGGAGCCCGTGGTGCTCGTGCTGACATTGGCTGGCAAAGTGAAACACCTCATCAAGGCGGCGACAGAAACGGAGCAATTTTGGGATTGCCAATCCGAACGACTTGAAGGATGAAGACTTTAGAGTCTGAACCGTGTGAAGTGACTGAGCTTTGAAAGAGATTCAATCGCGGCACCTGAGTCCACAAGCCAATGCAAACGCCCTTGGCTTTTTCACCACAGCATAAGGGGCAATTAACAGCAAGAGCTGCAAAGAGACCTAGGACCCTGTAAAGATCGCGATAACGTCAGCGTCTTCCAGGTCCGGAAAACTCGCAATAATCGACATACCGTGGGCGCAAATGCCCCTTTTGGGGCCTTGCTGACCCAGGCAATTTCACTCGCAGAAGCTAGAGCATCAGCCAAAACAAAGGCGATATTGAAAACACAAAGCGATGGCCTCGTAACCTAAGGGCGATGGCTTCCATCCTAATAGCATCTATATAATAGCGATGGCCTCCAACCTAAAGGCGATATTCTAAGCACAATCACTTTTTCACCATGTCTTTGTTGCATTGCGGTAGTTCCATTAAGCTTTTGCCGAGCAGGATCGGGCAACGGAGAAACATTGATTAAAAATTATGCCTTCGGCAAACCTCGACATGGACATTGCCATGACAAATGCCGATGCAGTGAGCGCTGGTCCACATTACTTCACCCTCAAGCGCTCAGATGCTCAGACTCGAGACATGATACCGATGAGAGCTGAGAACATGCCTCCGAAGTGGTCTGAAAATCCGAGAGGAAGACTGTCTAGGCTTAGCACTTGTTACTACCAGCTTCTTGTTACTACTAGTAAGGCACTTGTTACTAGTAGCGATGCACGTGTTACTAGAGGCTTCTTGGATTTGGCATGATTCCACTCAAAGAGACCACGTGAGATCAATGAATTCCACTTGCACTCCGAACTTGAACACACAACACGCCTCAAGAAATATGAAGTAATGTGAAAACCATGAATGAAGAACCAACTTAGAACGGAGAGACATGGCTATCAGCTATTGCACCTCCTGTGATCATGAAGTTCTTCAAGAGCATCTCCCGGGTAAGTTTCACCTCTCGGATGAAGAAGCCCGCTGAGCTGCTTTCTATGAATTGAACCAGGTAAGCTCTCTCATGATTGATCGGAGAGTCCTGAGATATCAAAAAGTCAAGATGATTGTTAAGACCTTTGATTTAAGACCTGTCATCCCTGTTTAATAAGGTGCATTATGGTGCATGGCTCATGGATGTTCAGGGTGCTCATGACCTCTCATGACACAGATTGACACAGCCCCAGGCGCACTGGGGCTCCAAAGGCTGAGAGACCCAAAAGGCCAAACCAAAAAGCGCTGAGCCTCCAACCTACTAGCGATGGCCTTCAACCTAATAGCATCCTTGCTCCTAGTAGCGATGCCCTTTGTTCCTAGTAGCTTCTTGCTCCTAGTAATAAGGCCAGGAGCCCCTAGTAGCGTCCTTGCTCCTAAGAGCGATGGCCTCCAACCTAAGAAAAAGGACTGATCAGAAAGTTTTGGTGCCGGGCTCAGCGGCCCAGCCTCTCAGACCAAGGCTCTGAGGGTATCTGGTTGACGAATGCCGGTACAATTCGGCACTTCTCCGTGATAGCTGTTCCCCGGTATAAGACTCTCATCTCCAAGAAGAAAAGCATCAGGACAGGCAGGAGAAAAGCTCCTGTGAAGAATGGTCGGTTGGTCAAGTTTACGTTTGGATCTTGTGGTCCAATCACATCGCAGTCCACAAGCCTCGTGAAAGCCAGGGAAACAGCACACAGCCACAAGATGCCACAAGCCTTACAGGGGGCTCTCTCGACTCAAGTCCTTCAGCCAGGATGACTTTCCAGGCAAAGTTGGAAACGAAAGCGACCTGGCAAAAGAGCGCCACAGTACAGTGCCCTGCCTTCCGGCATCTCGTGGTGCGAACAGCAAAACTCTGCCAGCGCACCACGACGGTGGAGGCCAAGCAATAGATGCATGCGATTCCGCCCAGCATCTGCATGACCAAGAAGCTGTTCGCCATTTTTTCGGCTGATACACTTCAGCAGAGCCTGCAGGCAGTTCCTTGGCAAGTGTTCACTGATACTGCTGGCATGGTCAAATCATAAGACTTCACCTGAAATCTACAGTAGACTCAAAAGCACTAGGTTGGAGGCCATCGCTAATAGAAACAAAGAAAGAAGAAAAGCAAGAAGACGAGTGTCCAACTCTCGACCCCCACTTGGAAATCTGGCGTGTCCAGCAACAACCGGCACCTTGCTCCCAAAGGCAAAGGGACCAGAGTCCAGTTCAAAATAGCAACGGTGATGCAAATTGTTCACATTCTCTCACAGGACGACCGTAGACTTCAGATATTTACAATGGATATTTTGTGAAAAAGTGTTCGACTGCGTGTTTGGCTCTTGCTGAGACAAGCGCCAGCAGTCTAAACTCGCATCCAAGCCCATGAGCAAATGACTTTGTATGTAGGCTTCTAGCACCACCAGGAAACTCGAGACCAACCAGGAGGCCCATGCGATACCATGAAGAGTGTACCTTCGAGGGCCACAGGTTCAACATGCTTTCAACAAGGCAATGCTTGGATGAAGACTTTTTCATTCACTTGGTCTCCTCCAATATCGAGCTTCATGATTGGTACTCTGCTCATTCAGCATCCACTCTCTCACCACCTGACACTTGTGACAGGTGTGAGTCCCGAAGTCCGGCACCCCGAACACCGCAACTCTCACAGCATCTCGCAACACCTGTCCCGCGATGAAGATAAGAACCCAAAGAAACCAAAACGCCAAGCTCCTGTTTGGACAAATGTCTTCAAAGCCATCATGCTAAGCGATCAGTTGAAATGCCGCAGCTGTATCAACATGTAATAACCATCTGACACACATTGTGGTGCCCGCATGGAAGCTACTGCCGCAGCTCTCCTCCGTTGTTCCAGTTGAGAACAGTTCTTCCATTCTTCTCTAAAGTCCTCTATAAACCTTACTCCGATCAACATGCCACAGACCGATATCACTCGAAAATGCTAAAATGCTTTTCTGATCTTTTCTGCGGGGCCTTCCCAATCTGGAACATTCTGGAACCACGCTTGGCGGTTGAGAGCATTTTGCACTTCTTGCTGCGAAATTGATTGATTGAACAAATGCGGTGCAACATGCGGCAGCTGCGCAGCATTGAATCTACTTAGGGCCAGGACGTGTGCAGCTTGTTCACCGTCAAATCAAGATCAGCAGATCTCAAAGCATCCCTGCAGCTTACGAGCTTGGATTGACACCCAGCACCCAAGTACGGCCCCATACAAAGCACAAGTTGCCATTTACGCTTACAACAGCGAGTCTCCAATGTCTCAGTCATGTCGCACAGCTCCTTCTGGCGATGGCTAAAGGATGCACGTGCGGGGTGCAGTATCCTGCGACAATCTCTTTAACGCCTACGGCCCTGCAAAGCCTGAGGAAATAGCAGGATAGCACTGCGGCAAGGCTAAATATTGCATTGCCAATCACCTCGGTGCCAGGACAATACATGTTCTCTGCACTTCGGTCAAGCTGTGTGCGCCAACGGCCTTTTGAACCAAAGGACAACCTCTACGTGACAAAATGATGATGGTGACCGTGGCTTCTCACTCCAATCAGTGAACCGAGGGGCTGTTAAGCTGTCTACATCTACGCGGTCCAAAGAGATTTCCAACGCGATGTCAATTCCAAAGGCTGCAATGCTGCAGATTGTGATCAAACCTGCAAGAACGACTTGGCCAGACTGAAATGTCCATCAATTCGTGTCAGTCTGCACCAATGGCTGCAGAGTAGACGGGCTAACTGTGTCACTGCGCATGGCCATTCAGCGAGGCAGTGTTGAATCACGATCAATATCCATCAATTGTTCCCAGT